TAACAACAAACTACATGTTTTAAAAAAAATTGTTATGCATTTAAATTGTAAATCAATATGAAAAAAAATTATAAATTAAATAATATATGTGTTTTAAGTTTTAAAACAAAATCATAAGTTGTTATTAACATCTTTTTAGATATTTTATATATTTTTATTTTATTTTTATTTTTTCTAATTCTTTTTATATTTTGAGGTTCTCTTCTACCTCTAACATATTTTAAAGTGTAGAAGAGTGAAATTGGAAAAAAAAAATAAACTTCTTCTTCCATCTATACTTCTTGTTTGAATAGCTAAACTACACATTTAAAGTGATCTTTGAGGTTAGTGTATTTAAAGTTATTATTTTTAGAGCTAACCTTGATACTACCGGTGACAACTGCATCAATTGAAAGAACTTTTTCTGCTATGAATATCATCAAGAATCGGATGCGCAATCGTATGGGAGATGAATGGTTAAATGATTGTTTAGTTACTTATATAGAAAAGAGAGGTTTTTGATAATATTGAAAATGAGCAAATCATTTAATGTTTTCAAACTATGAAAACTCGTAGAGAACAATTATGATATATATTTATCTTTATAAAAAATTTATTTTATATTTTAAAAAATTTATGTATTTAAATATTGCCCCCACTACTTAAAATTTCTGAATCCGTCACTGACCGTAGTTGATACTGTATAGGAGTCAGGTCGAGCCATACGTGTATAAAGTAACCAATGTAGATTCATATGGGGGTAAGGTTGAGTCATATGTGTATAAAGTGACAAAACCAAGTAAGGTACAAGGTTGGGGGCCAAAATCCCTAACTAAGTATTGGAAGGGACGTAATATTTAAAGGGTAGTCAGTGGACTAATTCCATAATAGACTTAGTTATGCATGCTAAGGTCGTGGTGGATTCACATTCAAGTTGTCTTATCCCTAAAAAGAATATTGGAGTTTTCTAATTTAAGTGGCAAAATTCAAAAAATCATGTTGTGGATTTTTAATCTAAATTATTGTTGATCTAGCAAATCCAAAAAGATCGTGTTGTTAAGTTGGTTTGGTGGGGTCAAGCCACTTAGACTACTCACTTGTACTGTAAGAGATCTCTCTTAGTTGAAAATGTGTGATAACGCATATAGTTACTATGTGGTGCACATGATGTGTTGACATGTTGTGTTGTTCATATGCTATATTGAGATGTTGATGAGTTGTATAATTGTGTTGTAAGTTGAAATTGTTGTCATGTTATTAAGTTGTAAAGTTGTATTGATGTGTTGATCTATGTTGTTACTTTAAATGGTTGTTGAATGTTGAGTTGTTGAAGTTGTGTAGTTAATTTAACGTTTCTATATGATTTTTTTTAAATCTAAGTTTATCCTTACATGTTTTCATGTGGTTGAATTGTAATATTTGTTATGAGAATAAAAGGACATGAGTAGGCTAGAGGAAGAGTACATTTTGGAAGTCATGCTAGAGAATGGTGGCGTTAGTTGGACTACTTTTATATAACTGTCTTGTAGTTGTTGCTTGACCCACAACTAAAATTTTATGTTTTCAATTGGATTATTGTAGATATGTATATGTGTCTTTGTGTGTGTGTATATATATATATATATATATATATATATATATATATATATATATCTATAAGATTTGTGGTATAATTTCATTGGGAAATGTTTATGTTTTCGGTATATACTTCTATACATATATTATTATATGTATATTCAAAAATTATTTGCATGATAATCCTAATTTACATAGATTTATGTTTTTTTGCTACTTTAGTTGTTAAGTTGTAAAATGTAAAATATAGAAACTTACCGAATCGTTACAAATAACAGATTTTCTTTTGTTCAGTTAAATAAAAAACAAAATAGAAAAAAAAATATCTTTTGAAAATAGAATTCAAAATTGCCTTTCCCTTTATTTTAATTTAAATTTCAAACAATTTTCTCCCTCACTTGACCTCAATCACTCTACAATCATAATGTATTTCTGCTTTCACTTTGACGCCAAGCCAGGGAAACCAAATTTGAATCATTTATGTCGGATATCCCTTGCCTCAAGTGGATGGAAATTGCATGGCTATAAAGAAATGGAAATTTTAATTGCATGCTTAACAAAGAAGTAAATAAGATT